TTTCAACTGAAAATATTCAGTATCTAGAAGGAACAAACTAATTCCTTGAGAACTATAACTTCCCGCTCATGTCAATTGCCGTCATCATAGCTTCACATTCTTTCTGATTTGAGTGATCCTTCTCTGTCAAGTTAGCTAAATATGTTTAACATGTGAATTCTTGCTAATATGCAGTTATATTACAGGCTGTTGGCATGAATTGTACTCGTGATGGAGCGGTGGTGGAGAACCAGCCGCTATCAAAATAATCTGGCTGCGGGTGCGGGCCAGATATTATTGCTGGCGGGCCAGTTTTTTTGTTTTTTGCCGACCACTGGTCTAAATGTTATTTGTGTAGGCTATTTTACTTTTAATTTAATTAGAAGAAGGCCAACAGCACCCCCTACAGATTAAAACTCCTTACCGAACGGGCGTTAGGACCTGGGGTAGGCTGCCCCTGCTGCCACTACAGGTGCTATTACTGTTTGAATGAATGAATGATGCATTTATATAGCGTTTTATTGTGTATTGTTGTACACCCAAAGCGCTTAACAATCATGTGGGGGGGTCTCTCCTCAACCACCACCAGTGTGCAGCATCCACCTGGATGATGCGACGGCAGCCACAGGACAATGGCACCAGTGCGCTCACCACACACCAGCTACAGGTGGAGATGTTTACTCTATCATACACTGAACGCGTCATTCTGTATGTGCTTTCACAAATTAAATGAAGCTATCCAAAAGAGTGAATCTAATCATCATTCAGACAAAACTTTGCTTCAAGAATGAGCCACACTGCTGACACGATCTAATCACTAGCACACCCTGAGCACATGTGAGTTAATGTATTCCTCTTATGGGCAAGACATATCGGCATAAGTTTTCATATCGGGCCGATGCTGATATTTACATTTAAAGCCATTATCGGCCGATTCCGATATCAGTCCGATAATATCGTTCATCCCTACTTAAAAGGATAGTTCACCCAAAAAGGAAAATTCTGTCATTAATTACTCACCCTCATGTCGTTCCAAACCCGTAAGACTTTTGTACTTAGACCTTGTATATGGTCTAAGTATGGGAGGGTCTGAAAGCTCTCAGATTTCATCAAAAATATCTTTAATTGTGTTCCGAAGATGAACGAAGGTCTTACGGGTTTGGGGTTGAACTATTCTGGAACAGTGTTGTAAATACAGCTTAACCACTGATTTCTAGTCGTGTCCATTTTTGGAAGGCCAAACAAAGTAGTTTCGCTTTCACAACGAAACACACGACAGGCTAGAGTGAGCGGAGGCCAGAGGCCTAGAGTGAGCGGAGGGTGGCGGGCTAGAGTGAGCGGAGGCGGGCGGGCTTGCGGCAACCACATGTGATGACCCCGGGCTGGACTCCGCTTCGTCCTCAAAAATATCTTAAATTGTGTTCTGAAGATGAACGAAGGTCTTACGGGTTTGGAACGGCATGAGGGTGAGTAATTAATGACTGAATTTAAATTTTTGGGTGAACTATCCCTTTAAATGAGTTTAGTTTAAACACAGATATCAACGTTTGCTGTTCAGGTCTCACCTGTGCACTCGCGCTATCAGCACGATGACGGAATAAATGACTGTTCATATTCCAGCATACAAATTCGCATTGAACAAGAGTGAATGGTTTGTCCATGCTTTTTTTTTTTTTTCTCATCGCTGTTGTTGTAGTGTACTGGGAAGCCAAAATGTGCATCCTTTAAAGGGGTCATATGATGTTGCTAAAAAGAACATTATTTTGTGTATTTGGTGTAATGAAATGTGTTTATGCGGTTTAAGGTT